TGAGATCCAACACCAGTTTCGGGTAGGCCATGTTGGTGCATGAAACTTCACTACCACAGGCAGCCATGCAAGTCTCCTTTGTGGAACAGGCCACCAAGTCTGTGTACAAGACCCTACTGATCATCCCCGGCAACACCATCAAAAAAACTGGCAGAATTTTGGCAAAACCCGCGAACAACGTTCCTCCTTGAGCATGGGATAAACTCTCGGCTGCCAGCGCCCTCTGCACCATCATCTGAAATACAGTAAAAACTGTGGTTACTCTGTTCACCTTCAACATAAAAAAAGAGATGTCGCAGTACAATATTTCACATATCATACCTGTGATTTCTTCATTTAGTGTTAAAGTAAGCAGGAAAACTGGGGAAAATGTCCCATCAAACCTCAGAATTTTTTTTTCCATCTTAATGATGAGCACTCATCCTTTTCCAAATTGAGGGGAATGTGTGTGTGTGTGTGTGTAGTATGAGCAAAAATGGTGAATTTCAAATTTGGCAAAATATGAGCAGGTACTTGTCATAACAGTAGTAGATAAATTTATGTTCTGTATAAAGAGTTCACTCATATTCATAATTTTTCCAAGGAAACCATAGATGAGATATTATCATCAAAACTGCAAATGCCCACTGAAAGTTACCCCTAGAATTTGAACTCAAAAATATTGACCATCTTTTCTTTTGCTGGGCCATGCGTCTAATAAATTCCTGGCTTTTAAAAAATTCAGAAGTTGGTCAAATTAAAGGCAGAAAAATTATTGCTAGAACTGTTGTAAAGAGAATTTTGTAGAAGAAAACCCTGCGGAACCAGAAAAGTTTATTTAAGGAGAAAATTGTTATAAGATAATTCACCTGTACATGTGAACTATATCTGAAAAACAATTTAAGGGGAAAAAATGTATTGTAGAGAGAATTTCATTGTAGAGTACCCATATAGCATGAGGTGAGAACCTTATATAACCAGAAAAAAATTTACTAAGACTAGAAAATTGTGGTAGACAAGACATTTTTTTTAGAGAAAATCCACCTGTGAACATCTTTACAGCATCAAAGAAAATCAAACTCAATAATAAAATAACAATGCGTAATACTACTTGGTCTTTCAACATAATCATACTTACTTGATCAGAACACCAGTACCAAATGGATGCTGGGGTTTGGCCCAACAAGAACCCAGGCCAGGGCATATCAGAGTTCACTGGGTCCCTCAACATCACCCATGAGTCTTCCCTGGGAATCCCACAAGTACTATTTGGCACATGTTCCCCCACAGCAGCCATATATTTCTCTTGCAGGGCAGCAAATCCTCCAACTTTTGTAAAAGCTG